TATCTATCTATATATACACACACACACACACGCACACATATAGTATATATTATAGCATTATCTTTGTCTACCTGTGTTTGTATCTACATCCATTAACATTTTTCAAGTCAAAATAGCTAAACAAGGGATAGTATATAAATAGATATTCATATCCAATTTTGGTATTTGTGGATTGTGAAGCATGCAGTAAAAAAAACAAAAACTCAAAGCAGTTATGCACCACTGGGGAAATGTGCTAATAAATTGCCTTTGTTAATGGCACTTGAATATTTATTTAAGCAGGTGTGACAGATTACCATCATGATCAGCTTTTTTTACCATACAAAAAAATCAGCATCGAACTGAAACAATGCAATATGTGCTGTATTTTGCAGATTGAATTAAAAAATGATTTGTCATTTACATCATTGCATATGCAAATAGCATCATGATCAGCAAGGCATTTCTCCTGCTAAACTCTCAGAAATAACACTTATATTCATATGACTGATAGACCCATCCACACATAGGACACCCCTAAACACCAAAAAGGTGGCACAGTTTTAGTAAGTGATTTAGTTAATTATAAAGAAGTGTCCAGTAATGTGAAAAAATAAACTTGTTAAAAAGTTTCTCTAAACCCAAGATCAAAAATGTAATACAGTATGCTGCAGATGTTTTTTTCTCTTTCAGGTTTTTTTCCTTTATTTTTACCTGGTGATCCTGAAAGGGCCAAACCTCCTGTCCTAGGATGACAGCTCACTCACTGTTCTGTATCTATGGAGGGTCAGTGTTGTTAGCCTGGGAAGAAAGTGTGTTAAGATTACAAAACACCTCCCCCTCTCCTAACATAGGGGATGTTGTTCTGTAGTTCGCAGAGGAGCACTGTGCAATGCTGATATCACTATTTGAGATTTTAGTCCAGCAAAGGCAGAGGCAGTTAGATTTCTGCAGGGATCTTTTTGCATTTATCTAACCAGTATAACAAAAACATAAAAGGAGCAAATCTGGTTCATTGTAAGAGTTTTCATACACTTTATTTGATCAAAATGCACATCTTTAACTTGAAAGTTATTTCTGTGTTGTATTCTTGCAGGTTCTTGGAATATGTCCCAAGGACATGAGAGCGGACATCTGTGTACACCTGAACAGGGAAGTGTTTAACGAGCACCCTGCTTTTCGTCTGGCCAGTGACGGCTGCCTGCGTGCTTTGGCGGTGGAGTTTCAAACCATCCATTGTGCTCCCGGAGACCTCATCTACCATGCTGGTGAAAGTGTTGATACTCTGTGCTTCGTTGTGTCAGGATCGCTGGAAGTCATCCAGGATGAGGAGGTGGTAGCCATCCTAGGTAAGAAAATACATGCTCTGTAGATGCATGATGACCATGTATTGCAGGATTTAACAGAGAATGACATCTATAGATAGTATCAACTGAAAATCACAGATCACTTACAGTATATAGCATTCCAAACCAGAAATTGAAGTGTATTTTTCATTTTCTGTTACATTGAATGATATACCTTCCCATTCTCATGATTCTCAACTTTGCTACATCTTTATGGCCTTTTCCGATGCCTTACGGTATCCATTTTATCATCAAAGTTTCATTTTAAAACGTCTGAAAGTAGTTTTGCTGGCATCTCACCACTGAGATGCTTTTGTGCTTGTCATGGTCCTTGGAATACTGAACCATGTCTCCTTGACTATATTACACAGTGGTGGGTCCTCCACCCTGTCTTAGGGTTGAATCACTCTGTGTTTGGTTCACAGTTCACAGTTTGTCTTAAGGATAATCCCCTCCAACGGCTCCGGGGTCTGGAAGGAAGGCATTGTTCTGTAGACATGTGCACTGCCAAAAAATTTGTTTCGTTTCGTTTCGTTTTAAATTCGGATTTGTGTTATTTCGTTTTTCGAGATTCGGGTGTGAAAATCAATTCGGATTCGGAATTCGGATTCGGACGAAATTCAGTAGCGTTAGTTCGAACGTTCATTTCGTATTCTGTTCTTATTCGTTTCGTATTCGTTTCGTATTCGTTTCGTTCGTTCGTTCGCAGCAAAGTGACATTTGAAGGGGAAAAAATATTTTTCTCCTTCTCTAATGTCACTTTGCTCCAACGAACGAAACGAATAAGAAACGAATAAGAACAGAATACGAAACGAACGTTCGTACTAATGCTACCGAATTTCGGAAATGGAAATTCGGATTGTAGGCCAGTTGTGCGGCTGCAGTGTGACTACACTGCAGATGACAGATGTAGCAGGCTAATTACTACCCATTGCCACAAATTCCCTTTTTAGCCCCCACCTATTGGCATTTCACTATTCCTGGAGGGGTCCCACCATTTCTGTTGCACTCCTCATATTACACAGAAATTGGCAATGCCGACAAGAAATAAGAGGACCGCTTGCAAAGACCCTGTAATGTAGACATATCTAGGAACTTATACATCTTTTTGTCATCGAAATCTCAAAAATCTCTCTTTACCATATTCTTTGTGGCTGCTGCTACTTTTATCATGGACAGCTAGATGTAGACTAGTGTTTCTTGGTTGGCTCTTGCTCTTTTGTATCCTTTATACGTTGAACACATCCCCATCAGATAATAGAAGCTCACAAGTGTTGACACACATTTTTAGGTATATTTGTATGGATTGGTAAAGTTGATTAATCACCAGACTTGTAGTGAGACAAAACCAAGAGAATAATCGAAGTTTGAGGAGATTTGGTAATGACTGAGAGGTAGAGCAGTTCAGTGAGAAGCAAACCGTGCAGATCATTTATCCTTCATAGATTTCGGAAGTTGTTGAAGCAAATTGTGCAGTAGAGGATACGCCTGTCTGGATGACTGATGTGTAGATGTTATTTCAAGCCTCGCCGCTCCCCAACGCGTTTTACTCCTCTGTTTAATACATTTTTTTTTGTTTAATCTGCCCACTCGGCCCTTAAATTAATAGGATTCCGAAATACAAGATGAAGTGTTTGATATTTGTGAAAACAGCAACATTTATCTAGTAAACATAATTATGTCAACGGTTTGATGTATTGGTGTGACCGGCAGTGTAGGTTTGAGTAGATGAGTGATTGGCTTTGCTTCATGAGACAATTTGTTACTAATGACACGAGCAGTGGGGGGCCAGTGAGATGTCCTATTTGGATAAATGTTTTAGAACGTTCTGTATTATTGAGCTTTAGAGAGTAATCTATGTAAAAGCTGGACTCCATGCAAACAGGTAAATACACAGATGCAACATATATATGTGAGCTGTTTTACCTGCCTAGAGATTTGTAATTCTGTTAATTATGAGTTTAATCATGAGATTTACACAGCTCTACCACGCAGCACAGCTCTGCTGGGCAAGGGACCTCATTTTCCTCTGCTGCAGTTTAACTTTCACTTACATGCCTTCTCCCCATCCTCTGTGACTGGACAGTGGAAGAACAAGCAGTACACTGATGAGCTCATCTCTTACGCTTCTTTCTCATCCTATCAACATGCTACTTGCACTAAACACACTGCTCGCATATGTGTTGCATCTGTGTATATAGCTGTTTGCCTGGAGTTAAGCTTTAACATAATTTACTCCTCAAAGTTCAATAATGCACGGCATTCTACAACATTTATCCAAATAGGACATCTCTCTGGAGC